CGACTACTTTCTTAAACTGTGTTTCTACGGTTCAGTTTCAAGCCTCCAAGTTCTATCCGGACTTATGGCTCTTATTTCAAACCTCTATGATTTACCCGGACTTATGGCTATTATACACTGAAAAACCGTTACTGGTGATACTGGCTTAAGTCAACCTCTAGAGTTAGAATTTAATTCAAAACTTAATCTGATAGCTTAACTTAGAATATTCGGGTCTCTTCATTGATCTAGTGAACTTTTCGGGATTGTAGTTGCGAAACTGGGCAACTATAGCTGGTGAGGATATCTCCTGCGAAACTTTATCAATACGAAGTGACAACTGAATAATTAATCGTATTCTTGATCTGAACAGGATCTTTGAACATAAATGAAAAGAGACTCTATTACTTGATAAGGTATAATTTCTTGACGAGTTGATAAGATTAACTCGATAAACTAGAGTTCATTGAACTAGAATTCTTACTAGAGTTCTGACTTCTGATAGGAGGATATATCTGATACTGCTAGGATTCTATATTTCTGATCTGAGCATCTAGACTAATTTCTAAGGTTCGGATATCTGAAATCCTATTAAGCATAGACTTAATAAATTTAATTATATTTAAAAACTTTTGTAAAAACTTTTAACAACACTTACCTAATAATCGGCGAGGTGTGAGTGTGATGTGGTCGGGTTTTCTGAACTTTTTTTACTTTTCTGAAGTATTCTGAAGTATTTAGTACACAAAAACTTTTTCTGAAACTAAACTTTTAGCATACAAAGCACTTAACTTTAGCTCTGATACCAACTGTAACACCCCGCTTATCAGAGTATTTTTTTATTTGTCTTTTTTCTTTTACTTAAAAAATGATTATTAATTTTTTTTCGAAATCTTTTGCTCTTAACTCGAGATGCTACTAAACTTATTTTTTCTGAAAATCCAGTTTTCTTTAAACTTGTTCTAACTGCTGTTTTAGACATAAAGAAAACAAATTTTTAATCTTTATCAAACAAGCATGTAAATTTGAAAACCCGTTCATACTGGCGAACCAGTTAAAGTCTGAAAATTAGTTTTGGGTAAATTTATTTAAGCTTTGCTTATAATATCGAACGAGCATAGGGGGTCGAACCGCGTCGGGGTTTCGATCCATCGACCTAATGGTCGACACACTCGGCCACAAAAAGGTGGGTCGACCATGATGGAGCATCTACCCATCGGCCTGATAGCTGATACATGTGACTGGAACGAAACGGGTCGGTTAGGTTGACCCGTACAAGCCGAAGAATTGACTTAGGTATGTTTGGTCAACGGATAACTACGAACCTATCACCCTACAAGTGATTGCTATATAAAAGGTAATCTGAGAGGAAACGGGTAAGACTCATTTAATACAATCACTGCTACATTTGTTACACGTTTTTCTATTCCGAGATATTGACTTGGGCGTCAGAGGGTCTTGCGCCGGAGTTGGCGCTTTTGCAGATACCGACGAGCTCACGGACTTGGACCAAAATGAATCGGTAGATCCACGTTCAAATCGGAGAGGACCTTTCGGAAAACCGGAGTCAATTATCTAGGACCATATCAAATTGGCGCCGTTTGTGGTAACTTTAGCTCAACCGGTGTTGATCTGGTGGTATTTCATACGTAACAACCGGAAAGCAAATAGAGAAGCACAAAGTGAAGGAAATGGAGGAGGAAAGAGAACGTGAGCAAAGGGAGAAGGATAGCTTTTGGCTACACAAGCGTCCTCTAGGAGCGGGGCCTCCGCTGGGATGGGTACCATGTAGAGACCCGCCGACGACCCCAATCCCCATCATCCGCCGGCCACCGAAATCGTTAGGAGTGGCAATAGATAGCCCGGTGCAAGCAAACTCGCTGGAAACGCCAACAAGACCGCGCACAAGTTTCCCACGCCATGGGGCGAGCGAGGGAGAGTTGCAACTTCAGGCGAGAGGGGCGGAGGTGACTGGAGCGGAGGACCAACTTTTCATCTCGGAGCAAACCATGCAATTTACGCCTAGCGCGTTGGAGAGGATGATAGCGGAGGTGGTAGTGGCTAGAATTTCGTCGATCTCACCCCCAGTGAATGAAGCAGTAGCTCGACCCGAGACGCAAGGGCTGGCAGCTCGACCCTAGGCGCGAGAGGTGGTGGCTCAACCCGTGAGACAACAAGCAGTAGACGGACAGAAGTGTGAGCCAGAATAGTCGGTCCACTCGCCAGGAGACCCTTCACAACCTGCAAGGGATTCGGTCGTAGAGCGCATGGCGGAGCAGTTGCGCGAGCTCCAGGAGAAGGTTGAACGATGTCGAGTCCCTTGTTGTTCGAGCCACCTATTTGCAGACGAAGTGTTGGGCGCGGATCTTCCACATGGGTTTCGGGAGCTCACCATGTCGTATGACTGCTCCACGGATCTAGCTCGACACCTTAGATGTTTCGAAAATATGGCAGTGTTGCATATGTATAGTGAGCCGGCGGTGTGTTGCCGTGCCTTTTTTACCACGCTAAAGGGTGCTGCTCAAGATTGGTTCTGTAATGCCCCACTTTGATTTTAAAGAAAATCCATGGCTTTTTCAAAATCACAATAAATTTTTCGAAACTCATTTTTCGATTTATAAGCATTTTCGGCGATTCATTACTCGGTTTTTACAAGGATTTCATGATCCAATCATCAACATCATAATCACCTCAACATAAACATGTTAACATAGTAAACCAACTCATTGGGGTTAATCAACATAGAAAAATAAACCATCTCATTAGGTTTAAAATTCAGTTCAACATGCCAATACCAAATCCATAATTTTCAAATCTTCATTGTTTGAAAATAATTAACAAGTTTAACATAATAGAGCGAAAGCAATAATAATCAATATGCGGACCAACCACTCGTCTCCTTGTCGCCATGCTCGCCACCTGCTCAACCTAGGGGAAAAATCATGGGAGTGAGCATAATCCACTTGCTCACTACTATGCACATAAACCAAATATAAATGACAGATTGGTATGGTCGCAGCATGAACATGAATCAATAATCATATTGCATCTCCTAGTCATCACTATACTCATGTGCACATCTCTATAAAGCTACTAAGTGTATAACACCCCGCTTATCAGTATTTTTTTTTCTTTTACTTCGAAAATGATTATTAATATTTTTCGAAATCTTTTGCTCTTAACTCGGGATGCTACTAAACTTATTTTTTCTGGAAATTCGGTTTTCTTTAAACTTGGTCTAACTGATGGTTTAGACATAAAGAAAAACATATTTTTAATCTTTATCAAACAAGCATGTAAATTTGAAACCCGTTCATACTGGCGAACCAATTAAAGTCTGAAAATCTGAAAGTACTTAACATGCAAGTTCGAAATTTGAAATGCGTTGCAGAAATCTGAAAAAATGTAACATCATAATATACAGACAGTATAAATAAATGTGCTCGTAAATAGTAACATTCTGAATCCACGACCACCATCACTGCTCAGCTCACACTTCTGCACCGACCATGTTACCTGAAAAACATAATGGGGGTGAGTACTGATCCTCTTGTACTCCATAAAAACCCATATTAAATATACAACACATATAATCAAATTTCATGAACTAAGTATATATATAAATAAAACTGCTCTGAACTTTACTGATGCAACTACCGGTAACTGGCCGGTACTCACGTGATCACATTCTGGGGGTCGCCACCCCAGAAACCCAATCTTGACTGGGCGAGTGACTCAGGATGGAAAACTTCCATACAAGACTGAATCATCTTAAACTGGACAACGAATGAAATAACTTCATCATTCGGGTAAATTACTCTACATACATACCTCATACATGGTACAAAATTATAAGCAACGTAATACCCAGGCTGGATCCCCACCTGTTCTTCTTTTGAAAACTTTTGAGAACTGTAAGTGTTGTACTGGGTAGTTGTATCTCCTCTCAAATAGACGAGAAACTGAAAGAATCGAGAAAACGAAGTCTCGGACGCTCCAACTCGTCCTCGACAAATTCGCTCATTTTTCTTCTATTCACCCATAAACTTCGGGTTCCTCTAAATAAATTCTTGGAGCTCCGAAATACTCGATAAATGGCTCGAATGACATTGTGCCAAAACGGTCTACACGTCCCGACTTGTTTCTCGGTAAACCAAAGTCACACGCGACCTTGTGGGGTCCACGTAAACGGCTTTTTTTCATTTATTTTACTAATGTGCACCCTCGAACTCGAGCTTCTCAAAATAAATGCTGAGAGCCTCGAAATACGAAATAAACACATCGACCCCTTCTCCTCTTCTCGTGCTTTCACGGAAGCACTCTCGCTAATGCTCGACCCGCCTAACGAGTGCCGACGGGGTTCCCGAAGTTTTCCTATGACATAAAGCTGCTGCTGCAACTTTTCTTGCCGGAAAAGGCCGACTAATTGAAGTACCGGCTAATATACTCTCTAGAGAAAACTGTGAACATCGATTACTCGTATAAGGTTGTCTTCAACCCATCATGGCGGCTGCTGCTAGTGAACTCCGGCGAGGGATGACGGAAAAAATAAATTTCTGTAACTGTTCATGAACTATGAACAGCAAAGATGAAGGTTGAAAGATTTTTCATCAAAAGTTTGAACAATTCCTATGCTGAGGAAAGTTGGATTTTTAGTTGCATAAAAAATCGCGACATGATGAAATTTGATAGATTTTGTTGAGTGTGAAGAAACTCTGCTTTTGGCTCATATATAACGAAGATGAAGATAGATACATAGATATATCTCTACTATATATATATGAAGAAGTATGTGCACTTCAAATGGTGACAAGTGTCCCATTTTGCTATTGTTAAAATGTGACAAGTGTCCACTTTTTATTACAATTTTGCCATTGTTTTCAGCTGTATTTTTGGACATTTTTTGTTGACATTTAGAGGTTGATATCGTAATCTTATGTTGTTTTGCTTACATCAATAGATTCTTGCCTCTCACACGCAACCATCACCTCAAAGACCAAATCGAACAGTCTTGAAAAAGCAAAGCCTCTCCCACACGCACATTATATCTGTCACAACTCGGAATCGAGTTCCTCTCCTTTTCTTACAGAGAGCACCCACAATTACACGGGCTCCCGGGGCGGAAAATCTCGTGGCGGATAGAACCAGAGCAGCGGCGTGGCTACACGGGTCAGCCTGAGAAGATAGGTTAAAGGCGACTGATATGATTAAAGCGGAGCAGTCAGATATGGTCCTAACGGGCAGCGGGGATCCCCGATCTGTGGGATGCAATCATTAGCGGCGGCATCACTTACAACGGCGGCGGCGTCCTCGGCCCGGACTCACGCACCAGCAGAGGTTATATTTACTGACCACTCTAATTTACTCTGCTTTTGAGTTTGTATCGGCGTTTTGTGTTTTAAAGTTCATGAGTAATAGTTATCCATAGTTGAAGGATTTAAAACAATTGGCAACTTGAAAGGGTTTCAGGATATTTGTTTTGCTGGTTTTTTTGTTTACTTAAAAAAAAATTAAAAATAAAATAAAAGTCTTGTTCTGTAGAAGAAATGGATTAATCTTTGTGGAGTTAATTAGGTTGTCATCAAACTGACTATTATATTCTGAACCAATTTTTAGCTTTAGCAATACTTCACTCACACACTTTTTCCTGTGCATTTTCCATTTATGGAATACTTAAATTTGCAGGCAAAATTGCTTCAGCAGTATTTTTATGTAGTTGATGATGATTGGGTAACCTCTGAGGTGTGTTTGCTAGATACCCCAACATTACAATATTGGATGTTGTCATATAATATAGTCCTTTCTCTGTTTTATTCAATTTCCTGCTCAAATACATAGAGCAAAAGTAACTCCTGCATTTTAGGCGTACCAATAGAAAGTGTAAGAAATGTTGGAGGTGCAATAACTTCATAATTCTAACATCAATGATTTTTTTTGTATAGATCGATGAAATCTGATATCAATGTATGCATATTATTAATAATTTAAAGCTTATCTAAATTCATGTCACGATTTTCCTCCTGCAGATATGGCTCCACCAATTAAGACGCCCGACAAATCCCTTGTTCAGAGATAAAAATTCACCTCTTAATGAAAGGGTACTCTCTTCACTGTCCAGGAGAACTGTTGCTGTTCATCCTTGGCATGATCTAGAGATAGGTACTTATACTCTCTCGAAATTATGTTCAAATCTATATTAGTTGAGTACATTTCGTCCTTATGTGCATGTAATTATATGCTGGGTTTCTTGTGATTAAGAGCTTTGAAGCAAACTCAATGAGAACCTTCACATTGATTATAAATTGGTTGTTCATTCATTTTTATTTTTTTTTGTTTGCATCAGATTATGTGCGTTGCTACCTTGATCAGCACACGTCCTTGAACTGCTTTCCTATATGGTCTACATCATTTGCCCATCATGTGGTAATTGGTAAATCCAAATGAATTGAATATGTTATAGATGAAGTCTTTGGTGTGTAGTTATACGAGGGGCTGAGAGAGGCCTGAATTTGAACAAGGATATGACAGCTTGACGGTGGCTGGTGGTGTTTTGTTCAGAGCCAGCGTTAGCCTAAAGGTAATTTGCTATTCTTTATCATATTTGGCAAATTTATAATGCTTTTTAGGTTTATGGGTTTAATAATTTATGATTATAAATAAACCTCTTTCTTTCTCAAGGTAAGGTGACAATTGCTGTTAAAGTTGGTGGAAGCTGGAAAATCCCGATGGTGCTGTGATTGCTAACAAGGTAACATGCTATGGAAGCAAAGGATTAAAAAACAAGCTTCTCAAGGAGGGAGACGAGTGGGAGAATTTTAAATGTAGAGATGAAGTTGAAGGGTTTATCATAAATGTTTTTTTTTTTTTCAACTTTGATTATCATTTCTTATGTCGACGAGTGGTGCAATTCATTATCCACACTTCGATGGATAGGACTCAATTTCATTCTAGCCTCACACCTCTCAAATTTAATTTGGGTCAAGGTACGTTAACCATTTGTTCAAACATTTGAAGTTCATTACTGAAAAGGATAATATTGAACTGTCTACTATGGCTGCAGTCGGGCGCTGATTTTTGCAATCATGGTAACCCGAGTATTTACTATGTGCACTTGGTTTATGGTCCTAATCATGGGAAATTGGTGCTATTCTCATATAATTTTCTGAAATTTGTTGTCCATACTTAAAGGCTGCAGCAACATGAGAAGTTGGTGGGAATGGATCGACCACTGGACTCCCTTATTCTATGTACCTCCTTTCTGGTATTTTCTGCCGATTCATTTATAATTCGCTTTTACACAAGAAATCTATCTTTTTAGTTACACTGTGCTATGCGCAAGTAATTTCTTTTTCAGATGTGGTTCAATTAGAAAACTGGATAGACTTATAACTTTGCTTTTCATTGAACTTTATGCTCACTCTTGCTCCTTATATCTATCATTACTTACCTGGACGAGTCGTACAACTGATATTAGTCACGCCTAGGCTATAACTGTTACACAGAAAGCGTTTTCGTTTTTAACATACCCCAAGTCCAGGGTATTTGCCAGATTTTTTTTAACCAGCTTCTAAGCTGCGAAAGAGATATCCATTAGTTATGGTAACAAAAAAAATGAGGTATGTGAAATGCTGCTGAAATAACCAAAAGTTATTTCATGAACAATCGTGTTGTCTTATGCCTAAAATTATATTGAAAAAATTAGGGTTTCGGATAAGAAAACAAGCAGCTCCTCCTCCATAACCTTGCGCTTCTAATGGCAATCGCAGCCGCAAACTGCTGGTTCTCCGCCGTTGCCTCCGCCAGCTGCGCCACCGACCACCGCCTCTTCTTCACATCGAAGGGACCCACTTGTTTACCCAACGTTCATAAACCCTCCGACTACCGAAACCAAATCTTGGTGAGAGGAAAATCTAAATGCTACTTATGATAATCGTCCAATGAGGTGCACCAGCTGATTTTCTAGATTCTATGTTATTAAATTTGATGTTTTTTCTTTTCTTATGATTTGTAATTGTGTCTTGTAATTACACTTTCTCTAAGTGGAATTTTTGAATTTTATGAAAAAAAGAAAGTATCTTGGGCTTGTGATATCTTTGATGGCTCTGTGTTAGCTTTTTTTTCTTTTTCTTTTTCTTTTTTTTTCTTTTTCCTTCTGGTGTTTGTTTTTCTAATTTTCTTTTATTTGATGTTTTAGTGTGAGGCTTTGTCTAATATAAAGGTTGCTCTTTTATGCTCTATTTTCTATTGCCATGTTAAGCTCACCATTAATGCTCTCTTGGATGATCTTTTGAAAGTATTTTGAAGAATGTGTTGTTTTAGTTGAAGAAAAAAATATGCTAGAGTGGATTAGAAACCAGTCATAATAAGAAATGAAAGCAAGAGATGACAGCATGTAAGAGAGAGGATAGAAAATTGGTAGCCATGGCAAATTGCTAGAGCAGTATCGTCACTTTCCACTATAATTTATTAATTCTTGAGATGCTACGCCTTCCACACTTCATTTGCCCAACTATTTCTTTTTCTATTTCTGTTTCTTGAAAACACTCCCTCTGAATTTTAATATTATTTCTCTCTCAAAATTTCAATGCTTGTCGAATTTTCATGGAAAGACTTGCTGAACTCTAAAATTTTCTGCCCATCGTTTCCGTTAATCTGCCCAAAGATAGCATCTTTTGTCCCTTGTCTATGGTTTCTTTTGAAGGGCTGCTCTATTTTTCCACATGAAGCATTTTGATGTTATGATTGATTAGTAGTCTTTTTCACTCTGTTTCGTATAAGGATGGTTTTTCTTTCGACAAAAAGTTAAAGAATTGATAGCTTTTTGGAGTTCAAAGGTAGCATCTTTTGTTATGCTTGAAGAATTTAGTGAAATGTTTTAAATTTTTAATGCTTTGCTATTTGCTCATTGTACTATTCTGTTGTGTCTGGTTTGAGATTGTCATTTGGTGGATTTGTTCTTTTTGCCAATTATTTGGAAAAAATGTGTTTTTTGATGGCGAAAAGAGGTTGGCTCACATGTTGAAATCAAATTGAGATACGGCCCAATTTGGTGGACACATGTCTGCTGTTGGCTTAAGCAACAAAAATAGCAAAAATAACACAACCAGTATTTTGGCTCAAACTCTATGCAAGAAGACATGGACTCTCATTCACTTGTAGTGAGGCTTTGGGTCATAGGATTTTAGATGCACATGCCTTTAGGAAGTTATCTGTTTAGACAGTATGCCTACTCTCCAATGTTTGTTAAAATTGATTTGGATAATCATTAGTGGATGAAGAACAAACATAATTGATTCTAAGTATATGTTTATTGACTTGGTTGATTGTTTTCATTGGCTACCAAAGACCGTGACTTGATAACACAGTCAACTATTTGGAAGTTCCTTAGTCGTCTTTTCTTTGTCTTCTCATCCTGAAAAGCCATTGGAAGTGGTCGTTGGTGGTCCAGGTAGAGAATATATGTAAGGAATAAAAGCAATAATATAAGAAAGGATCTATAGGCAATGTCAAGTTCATGAGATCTTTATGGTGAAAGATTACGTAATATATGTAAAGAATTGTAACAACTGTCCAAAAAATTGTGTATTGAGTTCTTGTATGGTGAAAGATTATTTAAAAAAATTGTGTAATGAGGTCTTTTATGGTGAAAATTATTTTGTTAACAAGCAGTACTAAAAAGGATACAACTTTTTAGAAATCTTTGTGCATAATTTGTCAAACTTTACAGAGCGCCTGCTGTGGTAAAAATTGGAGACTTCATATGTGCGCTCAGCCAAAGGATTGAGAAGTGAAATTATATTATATACAGTTAGTATCATTCATGTCGATGCAATATTTCAACAAAACAACTAATGCAAAGAAAAAGTATCAAATTATGACTAATAATTAAATTAATTAACAATCTGAATAAAAATTAAATTACAGTCGACTATATTAACACAACATACGAACATTAATATTAAACTTTAACAGGACACAACAAAACTATGTGAACATCGTCAAAATTTATTAAACATAAACTTCATTCGTATCAAATTTAATAACAATGTTTAAAAAAATATATATACAAATCCGAATGATCATTTCAAGGGACGTCAAATTTTCACTGGATTTTAGACTAAATTTGAGCCGGCCGTGTAACACAACTAGTACTAATATATGTATACCACTTGTTAAAAGAAAAACTAATAAAATTATAACCTTGACTTTAATAATTGACAAAAGAGACGTGTTATCGGTTTCTCATGAGCTGGAAATAACATGACATTATCTCTTCTTAACTTAACTACAAAACTTACTACATGCAGATGATTCATCTGATAAGACCGAGATTTGTATATTAATTGGCTATCTCAGTTGAGAGGGAATAGATATTTGGTAATATATGTATACTTCTTATGTAAAGGAAAGAATTTACAAATACATAATATATAAAAAAAAAAAATTATGTCTTTCTCTCTTAATAATAGTTGCGTGAAGAAGTCAAAGAAAATAATATATATATATATATATATATATATATATATATAGAGAGAGAGAGAGAGAGAGTTAGGATCACATGAGAACGGTAGATAGCGAAAAAAATAAGATTGAATCTATACCATTGGATCCAACATATGAATGGTCATGATCAAGTCAATTTTAAATATACCAGTCAAACATGTTGTGGCATTTTTGTAAATAGATGTACAATTCATAGTGAAACATACATATTTGACCAATAAATAAGGGCAGATTGGTAATTAACATCTTACACACCCAACACATATCATACGTGGGTCCCACCACAATTACCACCACTTCAGTTTCTCTCACACACACATAACACGCACCAGATCCGCCGGCCTCCAACCAGTTACCACCCGCCTCCGCCCAGAGCCGCCCGCCTCCGCCCAGTGTCGCCCGCCGCCGCCGGCCGCCTTTCCCTTCCACTAACAGCCTCTTCCGCACTGTCTCCGTTTCTTTCATACCGGTGGATTCCTCTCCACACTCTCTCCAACGCCGACCGTCTCTCCTCCCTCCGACCGCGTTCTCATCCCGCCGGTCACGTCCTCCTCCCGCCAAACGAGTTCTCCTCCCTCTCTCGCACCAGTGCTTTCACGATCTTCCTTTTGCCACTGCCGTGGTCGGACGAATGCCGATGACTGCGAGGTGTCGAGAAATTTCAGGTAGCGTCTCGATTCAGGCCGCCGTCGCCGCCGGGGTTGACACGATGATCATCATCACGAACCAACGGCCGCTTAACGTGATCAGCTGCAAAGGTGTTGCAGTTGAAAGATGAGAGCGTGATTTGCTGTTGCTTTTTTGATTTGTGGGGCTTGGTTGTGTGAATTAGATAAGGCTTATGGACTTATTTGAAAATTAAGAAAAATTAACAATATTATAATTCAGCCCACTGGTCAAATTTGCAATTTATCAAACATCTTAAAATGTAATAACATATAATAAATAAAATGCACAATGTCTTGTGTAGGCACATTAGATAAATATTGTCATATTTATATGAACTTATGAAAAAACCAAATAATAAAAACACAATTATAGTAAGTAAATTGCACAATATTGTACATAAATGAGAGCCTTACAAAAAAAATTATATAATCAAATCAAAATATAAAAGTTGAACCGAAATTTTTAGTTCGATTGGTTTACGGTGCTATTGTGCAATCTAGTATTCATTAATGTGCAATTCGTAAAACATTATGGTGCAATTAGAAATGACAATAAATACGCAAGTTTGATAAGTAAATTGTATAATATTGTGTGTAAATATGCGCTTTAAAAGTAAAAAACCTATAATCAATCCGAAATATAAATTGTGAATTGAAAATCTTAGTTCGGTCGATTGATAATGCTATGTTGCAATATGGTAGTCATTTGTGTGCAATCCGTCTAACGTTATTGTGCAACCGCATTGTATGCATTATTTATGATTTGCCCAAACCAATTTAAAATGTTTTGTTTATTTGCTCAGTTAACCGCATTAACATGATTAATCGAATCAAATTATGTTTATAATATACAAAAATATATTTAGTATTTCAATGTTATATTTAATATTTTTCTATTATTTGTTATTGTAAAGACCTTAAGTAATATTTTGTATAGTTCGATCGATTAAGTTATTTAAAAAAAAATTGACATCAAATTGACATATTCAAAAAAGTTGACATTAAAAACATATATTTGAATAAAAATATAAAATTCGGACCCAAAAACTTATTCGGTTGGTTTTGGTCGCTAGGGTGCAACCGGACAGTAACTAATGTGCAATCCGTCTAACACTAATGTGCACTCGAGTGAAATTATTTTTTATATTTTTTATCAACCCAAACTAAGAACAAAATAATTGATTTATTTGATCGATTAATCGAATTAACCTAAATAGCTGAAATAATTTGTAATCTATATTATAAAATATAAATAATGTGCAATCCGTATAACAATCATGTGCAATCCGTATAACAATCATGTGCAATCCGTATAACGTGTAAATCACTTTTTATTAATGTGCATTTATTATGTTTTTATAAATTATGATTTGACCCAACAACTTTAATTGTAATAAAATAAAAAAATGAAATTGCAAATAACTTCTTAAGAGTGTCTAATTTTTAAAAACAATCCTACCCCAAATCAACCCCACAGTCGTCTCCCCCATCATATTCCCACTTCTACTCCCACCCCTCCATCCCCTCCGGCGTCGAGAACGTCGTCGATCTCCCCGCCTCCAGCTTCCGACCCATCTTGTTCGTCCTCTCCTTTCTCCGCCGCCCCATCGCCGAGTGGTTCCGCTCCCACCCCTCCCCGCCCACAACTCTACTCTCCGACGTGTTCATCGCTGGATCCACCACCTCGCCGCCGAGCTAGGCATCCGCCGTCTCCTTCGTCAGCGCCCTCTTGCACGAGATGCCGCGGCGCAGTGACCCGCTAGCGACACCAGTTTTGTCCGTGTCTCTGGCGGCCCGAATTTCCATGGTTTCTCCTGGTGGCGCGAAGACTGATACGACGGTCGGGCCGATTCCAGTGGTCGCCGGCGATAGCGACTGGCCTCTGTGTGTGTGTGTGTTTACAGTGTGTGTGTGTGTGTTTACAGTGTGCGTGTATGTGTGTGTACAGTGTGTGTAGTTATACATGGTGAAGAGTGGCGACGAAGGCGGTGGCGGGGGAGGAAGTGTGGCGACGGTGGCGGGAGGAGGAGCATCTGCAGTTTGGTGGTGGCAGATATGGAGATGTGAGATTGAGACTGTGGGAGGGTAGGGACGATGGGAAGAGAGAGTTTGTGGTAGGAGAGAGAGTGTTAGAGGTGGGACCCACTTGTAATGTGAGTGGGAATAGATAATGTCTGATATACCCTTACTGATACATAATTTGTGACTCTTTTTCTACCGTTGGATTATCGGATCTAAAGGCTAAGATGTATTCTTATTTCTTTCATTGAGAACCATTCTCACCGGAGCGCGACCCTATATATATATATATATATATATAACATATGAATTTTTAACTTTATCTCAAAAATCTGATGGAAAAAAATTGACTCCTCAACTGCTAATGTCGATTGAGAGGAAATATTGAACCAAAAATGAACTCAACTAATGGGCTGAAAGTATGATTTCGATTTTGGCTGAAATTAATTAAACTGATGGGCCGAGAATAGATTATCTTATAAGAGCTAATAATCGAGACTCAGATAATTATAATATCTCAGTTAAACACTGAATTTAATTTTAATAGACAAAATGCCTAAATTAATTATCTAACACCCCGCTTATCAAAGTAAATTTTTCGCAACTTTTACTTTGAAAATACTTATAAATCTTTTTGAAATCTTTTGCACTTAACTCGGATGCTACTAAAATTTATCTTTTCTGAAAATTCGTTTTTCTTTAAACTTGGTCTAACTGTTATTTTGGACATAAAGAAAACAGATTTAATCAAACATGTATGTAAACTGGACCATGTTCATACTGTTGAACAGGTTAAAATCTGTAAGTCTGAAAAATACTTAACATGCAGGTTCAAAAACTTGAAATGCCTAGCGGAAACCTAAAAAAAACGTAATTATACAGATAGTATAAATAAATGTGCTCGTAAATAATAACATTCTGAATCCACAATCCCACCACCAATGCTCAGCTCACACCTCTGCACCGACCTTGTTACCTGAAAAACATAATGGGGGTGAGTACTGATTCTCTTGTACTACATAAAAACCCATACTGAATATACAACACATTTAATCCAATATCATGAACTAAGTATATACATAAATAAAACTGTACTGCAACATTTGGAACCCAGTCTTGACTGGTCGGATTATCATGTGAACACATTCTGGGGGTCGCCTCTCACATAACCCAGTCTTGACTGAGCGATAAACTTATCTTAACTGGACCACGAACGGAATAAACTTCATCGTTCGGGTATATCTACATACATACCTCATACATGGTACAAGATTATAAGCAATGTAATAACCAGGCTGGGTCCCCACCTGTTCTTCTTTTGAAAACTTTTGAAAACTGTAAGTGATGTGCTGGGTAGTTGTATCTGCAAGCTACATAAAAATATAAACAAATATACTAAGTACTATGCTCGTAATACTCAATAAGATGCTAGGATGCTCGACTCTATCATATAACCTATCCGGATATAAAAGAACACTATGATGGTTTTCTAAAATGATACTAAGTCCGGAAATAAAACTGATATACTTAAACTGGACTGGTTTGACTAAGAAAAATACTTAAATTTCGGAATAAAACTTGAACCAAAAAAACTCGAACTTAATAAAAATAATCAAGCTTTATACCTCCTCTCGAGAAACTGAAAGAATCGAGAAAAACGAAGTCTCGGACGCTCGAACTCGTCCTCGACAAATTCGCTCATTTTTCTTCTATTCACCCGTGAACTTCGGTTTACTCTAAATAAATGCTCGGAGCTCCGAAATACTCAATAAAGGGTTCGAATGGAATCGTGCCAAAATGGTCTACACGTCCCTACTCGTTTCTCAGTAAACCGAAATCATACGCGATCTTGCGGGTCCCACGTAATCGGCTTTTTATTTATTTTACTAATATGCACACTCGAACTCAAGCTTCTCAAATAAATGCTCGAGACATCGAAATGGGAAATAAACGCATTTACCGGCTTCTTCTCTTCTCAAGCTTTCAGAAAGCACTCTCATTAATTTTCGGCCCGCTTAACGAGGGCCGACGGCTACCCGAAGTCGAGACATGAAACGAACTCATAATATAATGAAAAATTTAAGAAAATCTTGCTGCTCGGTTGCTTGTTGTCTCCCAGGTGTTGTGACATGAACGGCCGTCGTTGAGGTCGTCTTCTCCGGCGATGGTGAGGAGAACTGCTACTGAACGAGGATCGTCGGCTAAGGAAGGTCACCGGAACTTGCTGGCTTGACTAACAATGGAGGAAGGTGAGGGACAGGTCGCGTTCTTTCTCTAGCAGGACGCGATAAAGTCTGCCGGACTGAGTTTCCTCTGAAAGAATGTCGCCTCTGCGTTTCGCAGCAAAGGATATTGAACGGCTAGGGCGGAACACGCCGGAAAAGAAAAAAAATCTGCTGCTTGCCATTTGCACGCGAGGAAGAAGATGACTCGTTGTCTAGGATTTATCGATTATTTTGTTGAAGGAACTTGAGGTTTAATCAAATAACAATTGCAAGACTAGAGAAAATAGAGATTTTTGGGTGATGAGGAAAATTTGTTCTTCCCATGAAGAAGAGAAAATATCTTCCTCTTATCTTATATCTTATCTTATCTTCTTATATAATAAGGGAGAGTTTTTACATAATTTTTTATTCTTTTAACTTTCATTTTAATTGCAACACGTGTCCACTCTTATGTTTTCCAATTGTTTTTATTTTTTCCCAAATTGATGCTTTTTCCCAAAATTCATTGTATGACATATACGAACCCTACCTAATACACAATAATATGGTTTTTTCCAAAATACACATTTATATGACATTTACCAACCCTACCTAATACACAATCTCTCTCAAATTTATCTTACCTCAGAATCTTCCAACGCCGCCGCAAGACATCTCTCAAATTTGTCCATCTTCCTTAATCGATTTTCACCATCCCGTGGCCTTCCCAGCGTGCCGTTGGCTGAGCATCTGGTCCCCATTGAGAATCGTTGTTTGAGTGCCATAGAGCAAGCCCGCGCCAACGGAGCGTGCACGTTTACATGTAATTTATTCTTCCTAATTTTTTTTTTTCTTCCTTCTTCAATTTTGACATCTGAATTCTCGAACCTCAGACTCACTCAGATCGCAGGCGGCCTCCACAACTTCCCCGCGATTGGGGTATCGTTGGACCAGCAGATGTGGGATAAGAGGAGCTCCGACACCTCGCGAGGCTCGAGGTTTTGTTCCTGGGGGAGGTCTTCTGCTTCTGGCTCTTCCAGATGCCGAGGAACATGTTCGAGAGCGGAAAAATAGTGTTCTCAAATCATCATCCCTTCCTGGAAAGCTTCACAAAAAATTTCATGTCGAAAAGTTCATTGAGTAGCAGAGAAAAAAGAATCCAGATTTCCCCCTGTCCCTCCGTTTTCGTTTTTGATTAATCATTATAAAAGTTGATTAATGTCCATAATTTTATATGAGTTTTATAATGATTGATATGAAAAAAAAAATCAAGATGATAAAATTACACATTTATATAAACATTCGTATAGTAATGAAAAAAAAAATCGTAAAGTTGTCCCTGAATCGGGCCTCTCGGACGTCCTATCCAGCTCCATCAAACCGAGCCCAGGGTCAAAACCGCCGAAAACTTTGGGCTTGAGGCCTGCAAACTCAAAGAACAGGTAAATTTGAGGAACAAGAGAAAAAAAAATTGAAAGAAAAATAAAGGGATTGGTTTTCAATCGGAAAGATTTGTATGAAGGGAGAGGATATGTTTTAAGAGAGGAGAAATTATGGGAAAGGAGAAAAAGACGAGAAAGAAAGAAATAAGGGGAGAGGAAAAGAAAAAGAAGGAAAATAGAAGAGAGAGAAAAGTGGCCTGCAGAAGAAAACAAAATGGACAGAAAAATAAAAGTAAAAATAATTAATGCTGAGTCACCTACCATCATGCCACACCAAACATGCAACTTTTTATTTAAAAAATCCACTTAAATTACCTAAAAAATTTGAGGACAGAGGCAAGTTGATTTTCAATTTGCAGGGTGCTTTTGGAGAGAGAAAAAAAGGCTTCAAGTAGGTGATTTTGACGCGGCAGAGTTTCCGATTGCAAAGACTAATGGCCATGCAGATTTCGTTTTTTTTAAGATGAAATGGGGTCATTAGAGTTTTTTTCATCAACCATCATTACGCCATTTTGTCATTTAGTATAAGAGAGACTAATGCGCTAATAAATCAAAATTTTATACCACTACAAGTTAGTATTTTATATTAACTTGGGTGAGCCATTTATATGACATTAATAGCTACAATGCGTGCTTAATTGGTATTTAGGTGACATTTTGACTAAATTGTTTATTTTATTATTATTATTATTATTATTATTATTATTATTATTATTATTATTATTATTATTATCTTTTTAAGTGTGAGGTGTATGATCATGTTAACATGTTTCATGCCAACCTTTCACACGGTTTTTAAGCAGACATCAAACACTATTATATATATAGCATGTTCAGTACAAGTTTCCATCAAAATTATAACAATTGTTTTTTTTTTATTATTTGTTTTCCTCATCAAGTCGAGTAAATGGAGCAAAGAAAGCTACCTATATTTTTATATTTTATTTCCTCTTAGGTAGCAGGTGGAACAACTAGCTATATTTAAAAATCTATACAAATTATTATTAAATATATATACATGTTCAATTTTACCGTGTAAAACTAAGTAATTTTATTGAAGGTTTTTTTTAATGAGGTGGTCACAAACAGTAGCAATTAATGGAAGGAAAAAAAACAATCATGGCTCAGAAGAAAAAAAATAATAATAATAATATGGTCATAATAATAATAACTTGCCATGTAGAACTAAGTAATTTTATTGAGCGTCAAAAAACGGCCGTTTGTGTATAATCACTGGAAATTTTTTTAATTTTTAAAATAAAATCATAAGTTTTAAATGAATTATAAAATTTTTTAGACTTGTATGTTTAGTTCTTTAGTGTAATGTATAAAATAATAATATTAACATATAATGATCGACAATTCACATCTTTATTCACATCTTTTTACAGGTTCTTCCTTAATTTTGATATTATAGTGCAGGATATGAGGTATTTTTCTCCATTTCGTCACCGCCGATGAGCCTATTTTCATGCAGCATGTTCGGGAACCCCGTCGGTCCTTGTTAAGCGGGCCGAGCATTAGCGAGAGTGCTTTCGAGAAAGCACAAGAAGAGGAGAAGACGTTCGAGGCGTTTATTTAATATTTCGGGCCCCGACCATGGGTATTGAGTAGCTCGACTTCGCTGGGTGTTATAGTGCTTTTTGACATTATAATTTTTTAGATAACTTTTCAAGTTGTAGTTCTTTACACCTTTATGGATAGATTTTTAATTTGGAGATATGCGTGTCACCCAACTTATATAATAACACACTTTTATATTGTTTTATCAAACACGATAAGGTTCGCTGTCAAGCATATGTATTTTTTTTTTAATTTTATAATAATCTGTTAACAAACTAAAACAAATTATGACACTAACACAATGTGACAACACAATCTACATGAATACTACTCACAAAAGATTTTAATATTTTATTTAATGTATTACCTTTCATTATGACATTGCAATCTTTACAAGATCTTTCTTTGCAGCTTTATGGATAGATTTTTCATTTAGACTTACTTTTTCAACCCGGATGTGTGAGGCCCGATGCCCAGCCTAAGTCTCGCGTCCGGATGTGTGGGCCCAATTCCCTTCTTGGATTTCTGTGGGATGGGACCCCCAGAATGTGCACATGAGTACCGATTTACCGTTAGTCCCCAAGTTAACCGATTTACTTATATATATGTTGATTTCATGATTTGCTATTAAAGATGATGTATATTCAAGGCTGGTTCCAGCGGAGCATCGTTGATTCATTTATGCTCACGCCTCTCCACTAACCATTTTTCAGATGACGGAGTCCCGCGTGGCGCGTGAGCTGGATGTGGTGGTGGTCACAAGCGAGGATATTTATGTTATGGCATGTCTTGTATTGTTTGAATAAATTATGCTTTATTTCATGTTGTGTTTGTTGCCTGCCTATCTTTGTTGTTTGAACTTATAATTGCTTTCGTATTCAAAACAGTATTCAGAACAGTAATCAGACATTCGTTTAAACGTGCCTACTTCCAGTAAATTTTCATGGCGCCTATTAGAGTAACATATTTTATTTGGATGCATGTATAATAGTAAAAGAGAACAAATAAGAGAATTCAGTTTAGATGAGTATCATCCTGCAGTTAGAAAAGTATTTTTTGAAAAGTTAAACTGAGTTTTCGAAAATTAAATCAGTGTTTCCAAATTTATTTCAAAGCGCAAAAAATTTACTCTAATTTGAGTAAGTTTAGGCGGGGTGTTACAAGTGGGTCTATGAGAGAAAAAGAGAATCAGATGGGAAAGTTGAGACCTTCAAGTCTAGGTTTGTTGTGAAGGGGTATACTCAGAAAGAAGGGATCGATTATGAGGAAACTTTTTCGTCAGTAGCTATGCTCAAATCCATCAGGATTCTCTTGTCTGTGGCCGCTCATATGGATTATGAGATTTGGCAAATGGATGTTAAGACTGCTTTCCGTATTGAGAATTTGGACGAGGACATCTATATGCAGCAACTAGAAGGGTTCATTGCAAAGGAACAAGAGCATCTGGTATGTAAGCTGAAGCGGTCTATTTATGGGTTGAAGCAAGCTTCGAGGTCTTGGAGCATCCGTTTTGACGAGGTTATCCAATTGTATGGACTTACCCATTGTCCAGATGAGCACTGTGTGTACAAGAAAAATGACGGAAACGTGGTGGTGTTTCTTGTGTATACGTAGATGACATTCTTGCCATTGGAAATAGTGTGAAAACGTTATCAAACGTAAAGGTATGGTTATCCAAGCAGTTTGATATGAAGGATCTTGGAGAAGTAGAACATGTTCTCGGAATCAAGGTCATGCGAGACCAAGAGAAGAGAAAGTTGTGTCTATCCCAATCCACATACATAGATACTGTCTTGGCCCGTTTTTCAACCTGCAAGATTCAAAGAAAGGGCAATTTACTTTTCGACATGGAATCCCTTTGTCTAAGAAGATGTCTCCTAAGACGCCTCAAGAGAAAGAGGACATGAAGGCAGTTCCTTATGCGTCGGCAGTAGGAAGCCTTATGTATGAAATGTTGTGCATGCGGCCAGATATCTTTTATGCCGTAGACATGGTAGCCAGATATCAAAGTTATCTAGGACTGGAACATTGGTCTGCGGTAAAACATATACTCAAGTACCTAAGAAGGACTAAGGAGTACATGTTGGTTTACGAGGCAAATGAATTATTTTCGTTAAGTTACACTGATTCTGACTTCCAGTCAGAGTTGGATGAAAGCAACTCAACCTCAAGGTTTGTGTTTACTTTAGAAGGAGGAGCCATAGTATGGAGGAGTGTCAAGCAGAAATGCGTGGCACACTCCATCATGGAAGCTGAGTATGTAGCAGCCTCAAAGGCAGCAAAACAAGTGGTTTTGCTCAGGAATTTTCTCCTAGACCTTGATGTGGCGCCGAGTTTGGCCGCTGCGATTACAGTTTTCTGTGATAAGCGGAGCAATAGCAAATTCGAAGGAGCCACAAACTCATAAAAGGAATAAACACATAGAGCGCAAGTACCACCTGATACGAGAAATCGTTGGACGAGGGGAAGTCGTTGCCAAGATACTGTCAGAGAAAAACCTAGCATAACCTTTTACGAAGGATATCGGTGAAAGTCATGGAGAGACACATAGAAGGAATAAATGTTAGACGTTAGGGCGGCATAGTAGACTAGTCTTTGAGAATTAGATTGAAAGAGAATTGTGGTTAGTGATAGCTATGAGCTTATTAAGCATAAGTGGGAGATTGTTAGGATATGCTGTAAAAGCTTGGTTTTCAAATATTAACAATACAATTTTGATCTGGCAATCGTGTTTTAGTCAAAGTATTTATGTTTGCAGTTTATTTATTTATGAAATCATA